CAGAGTGGACGGCTGTGTGTAGTGCGTGTGTGTGTGTTACTGTGTGTGTAAAGTGTAAGTCCCCCAGCCGAGCGTCTACCTGTCATTGTTGGGGAGCATGGGTCATGGTGTCTGTGTGTCCCCACGTGCAGGTGGCAGGGTCCCTTTGCAAGGCTGCAGACTATTGGGTGCTTGTGAGGACCAAGGTGCCTTTACCCCGAATTTGGGGGAGGGGCGGCTGTGGCACGAGCTGGCTTCTCCTGTCCAGTTCAGTGTCCTCATGGTGTGTGCACGTGGTATCTGTGTGTGTGCTGTTCCCTGGAGTGTGTGTGTACATGTTTGTATGGTGTTCTCCATGCAGAGGTGTGTGTATCTGTATGAACCTGTGTGTGTTCATGGGGTGTGTTCCCTGAGGTGTGTCTCTGTGTACCTCTGTATGTATGCATGCATGGTGTGTACTGCCTGGTGTGTGTGTGTGTGTTTGCATGCAAGCGTGTGTGGCACGCTCCCAAAGTATATGTGTGCCTGTGTCTGTATCTATGTACAGGGAGGGGGCTTCCTGGATTGTGTGTGCATGCCTGTGTGTGCGTGTATCTATCGTGTGTCCCTGGAGCATGTGTGTACATGCGTGGGGGGCATGTTTTCAGGAGTGTGTGCCTGTTTGAGCAGTGTTCTCCGTCTGTGTTTGTGTGTGTGTGTGTGTGTCCTTGTGCATCTGGCGTTTCTCCAAGTGTACGTGTGCATGTATATATAGCCCATGTTCCCCAGGGGTATGTGTGTGTGTGTTTCTGGACCCACTGCAGCAGCATGAAAACCTGCCAAATGTACTATTTGCTTAAAGACACTTTCCAGCCAGCTTCCTGGTGCTGACTGTACCTGCTGGGGCAGGTGTCCAGGCAGCACTGGCCAGGCTCAGACCTGAGCAGGCAGGCAAAGGGGGCTGCAGCAGCTCCTTCCCCAGCTGTCACTGCCCGCATCCCTTCCTGCACTTCCTCCTGGCACATCCCCAAGCCCCTCAGGCTGCCCTGTGGCTTTTATTACACTCCTTCTCTTCATCAAAACTTACCCTTCCATGCCCATCAACAGGAAGATACCAGTTCATCCACAAAACTAAGCCCTGAAGTCTAGACACAGGCGGGCACACTGTACAGATCACAACAAGATTTCTCCTTTATTGTCATCCCCATTTTACAGATAAGAAAACAGAGGATCACAGAGGTTAAGTGACTCTCCCAAGCTTATCACTGCAATACTTTCATGGTTTCCTATCCAAGATGGAGAGAAGTTACACTGTAACTGACTGGGTTCAGGTGCAAGAGAGGTGAAATTAGCCAGGATTACACAGCGATGGTGATGATGGTGGTGATGACGGTTAAAGCTATTAGAGTCTTTATTAGGTACCAGGAATTGTGCTCAGCCCTTGACGTGTAGAATTTCATTGACTCTTCACGGCAAACTTAAGGAAGGTGCCATATTATCCCCATTTTACTGATGGGGAAACAGGTTTATGAGAGGTGTGATGATGTGTCACGTGTCATCCAGCTGCTTAACGGTGGAGCTGAAATATGAAAGTAGCTCTGGATGATTCCAAAAGCCAGACCTCTTTGGAGGGAAGGGCAAAGAGGGAAAGCAGGCTACATTTTCCTAGGGCCTCTTCATCTGAAGAGGTGACAGTGCCTTCGTAACAGGAACTGACATCAGTAAATATTCCAGAGAGGGGAAATGTTCATCATCAAATGTCTTTGGGAAACCTGGATTTACCATTGCTAACCATATTTCCTTATGCAGGACTTATCAGAGCCTTTAATATGCCCATATGTGTTGTGAATTTCCAAGTGGGACAGTGAAGTGTTTCCTAACTGATCCCTAAATCCTCCTTTCCCAGAACCTTTTATGGGGATCAGTGCTCCATATAGCAAAGTTTGAGAGCATCTAGAATGGCTAAATCACAAATAGTTGCGTTTCAGGCACAGTGGCCAATGAAAGGGAGCAGTTGGGAGCCAAGTGCTCTCACCAGGGAGGAGGCCAGCTGTGGAGTAGGGGAGGGTCAGTACTAAGTCTAGGGGTTCATTCCGTTATCACAGGGGCAGAGGTCCTGCTCACACCGAACCCCATAATAGAAGGATGTCAGAGTAGGAATGGAGTTCCCTGGTGGTCGTTCTAGATAACTGGGACAGGCACAAACGGGTCAGAGTATGGCCACGAGCCAGAGCCAGAAGGCAAAGCAGAGTCCCCTGATCTTCTGGTGCGGGGGGGGCTGCAGCCTCTTCTCTTCTCCCCTCAGGGTCCCTGCGCTCCCGGTGAAGAACTTGAATGGTACGGGGCCAGTCCACCCGGCCCTGGCAGGTGAGTCCAGTCCAGGACGGGAAAGAAGGGCGGGGCCCACAAGGTGGCAGCCCCACCTCTCGGCCCCTTGGCTTCGGCCCCTTGGCTTCGGCCCCTTGGCCCGTCCCCTTGGAGGGCGTGGCCAAGAGGACACACCCGCTGCCTTTGGGCCATAACACTGGGGTCCATGGGGCCCGCAGAAGGGACTCCACTTGGCTTCAACCTTGGGTGGGAGCTAAGTGGGCGGGGCCCATCGGGCACCCCACCCACCCATCTGAGGATTCCTGGGCTTACCAGATGGGCGGAGTCTGGGGAGAGACCCCATGGGTCCACGCGATGTTGGGAGAGCAGGGCGGGCGGGACCTGGATGAGCATCCCGCCCCTTGACTGTCGCCGCCGCCCCCCAGGGATGACCGGGATCCTGCTCTGCGCTGCGGGGCTGCCCGTGTGCCTGACGCGGGCCCCCAAGCCCATCCTGCACCCACCGCCCGTGAGCAAGAGCGACGTGAAGCCCGTGCCAGGCGTGCCCGGGGTGTGCCGCAAGACCAAGAAGAAGCACCTCAAGAAGAGTATGCCTCCCGCGCCCGATCCTGACCCCTGAACTTGACCCCACTAACCTTTCACCGCAACCCCTCTGGCCCTTCAACTCCAATTTGGTCTAAAGACTTGTGATCCCATCTCAGTTCTGGTTCCCTGACCCCATTCGCCACCAACTCCGATTACATCAAACCTCAAGCAACCCTTGACATGTGACTCCTGCCAACCCTTACAGCTTCTGACCCCACCCATCTGACCCGTGACCCTGTCCTCAGCCAAGCCCTCAGGACTAGACTCTGGGTACCCTCAAGCCCACCCCCACTCTGTCCTTGCAGGTAAGAACCCTGAGGATGTGGTCCGAAGGTACATGCAGAAGGTGAAGAACCCACCTGATGAGGTGAGCCCCTAGGGGAGGGTACCTGTGCGGGGGACAGGCAGCCTCACCTCCAGAGATGGAGAGCCCAGCCCTCACCTCCTCACCTGGTTCTAGGTGTTACAGTCTCTTCTCCCGGTTTGTGGGTTTGCCTTCTCACTTTCTTTACAGCGTCTTTTGATGAACAGAAATGCTACGTTTAACAGAATCACATTGATCAATCTTAGTTTCTGCAGCCTTTTTTTTTTTTTTTGGCTGCGTTGGGTCTTCGTTGCTGCGCGTGGGTCCTTTCCAGCCGCAGCGAGCGGGGGCCACTCCTCGCCTCGGCGCGCAGGCCTCTCACCGCAGCAGCCCCTCCCGTTTGCAGCATATTTTTACCCATATTTTCCACCAAATGTGTTTAAGTTTTGCTTTTGATCGTTAAGCCTTTAATCCGTCTGGAGGGGGGTGTGAGCAAGCCATCTCTTCTTCTGCATGTATCTGAATTCAGTACCTGGGGGTGTCCTCTCCTTTTGATAGATGGGGACCAGAGAGGGGGCGGTCTCTTGCCCTTGGGGGATAGGGGGTCTGGCCCCTGCCCAGGAGCAGCGCTGGCTGGGGAGGGGTGTCCCGCCCTCCCCAGTCCTCAGTCTCCCGTCTGTGCCCCCTCCCCCAGGACTGTACCATCTGCATGGAGCGGCTGGTCACAGCCTCCGGCTACGAGGGCGTGCTTCGGCACAAGGGCGTGCGACCTGAGCTCGTGGGCCGCCTAGGCCGCTGTGGCCACATGTACCACCTGCTGTGCCTCGTGGCCATGTACTCCAATGGCAACAAGGTGGGCTGGGTGGGGCAGTGGGTGGCGAGTAGGCAGGGGGGCCGGGCGGGGCCAGGACACCTGGGGACTTCACGGCCACTCTCCCCCACCCCAGGATGGCAGCCTGCAGTGCCCCACCTGCAAGGCCATCTACGGGGAGAAGACGGGCACTCAGCCACCCGGGAAGATGGAGTTTCACCTCATCCCCCACTCGCTGCCCGGCTTCGCTGACACCCAGACCATCCGCATCGTCTACGACATCCCCACAGGCATCCAGGTGAGCCCCCAGGCCCCTAGCTTTGAGCCCTCCCGAGGCCACCGCCACCGCCACTGTCTGTGGTTCAAGCCCCTGCTGCCTCTCCCACAGGGCCCCGAGCACCCCAACCCAGGCAAGAAGTTCACTGCAAGAGGCTTCCCACGCCACTGCTATCTGCCCAACAACGAGAAGGGCCGGAAGGTGGGTGCTGTGAGGGCGCGGGGATGTGGGAGCAGGCTGGGCCCCCAGCCGCCATCAGCTGGACCTGTGGTCCCCGTTCTCCCCAGTCCCTGCACCAGCACTGACCATAACCACCCAGTGTGTGTGTCTGTGTGTCTGTGTGTCTGTGTTTGTGTGTCTAGCCCTGCCAGTCGCCTCACACACCTCATCTCATTCACCAGCCCGCTGAAGTCAAGGTCTTGACCTCATTTTAGAGATAAAGAAATGAAGCCTCAGAGAGGGCAAGTAACTTGCCCAAGGTCACACAGCTAGCAAACAGTGGAGCCTGGATTTGAACCCAAGCAGTCTAGGTTCTTCACTGCCACGCTAGAGACTGTCTGCTTTTACTTTTTGTTTTTCAAGAGAAGCCAGAAATTCTGATTTTCACGTGAAATCCCCAGGTTTTTGAATATTGCCAACGAAGTCACAAAGTGGCTGTTTGATACAGCATGAGGTCCAAACCAAACACAGCTGAGGGCCATCAGTTTGAGACCCTTCGCCCCAAAGAAACAGGCTGATAACATGGAAAGTGCTTTTACTGAGGGAGCTCAGAGTGGGAGTCAGTCTAGGGAAGGAAGTGGCCGAGCTGGGCAGCCGCAGGGAATCCTGCAGGGGAGCCACAGTGTGGTCAGGGAGGGACTCAAGCTGTGGGTGGGGCTGGCTGTGACCCTTGCCTGCCCCGCCCTCCAGGTGCTGAGGCTGCTCATCACCGCCTGGGAGCGGAGACTTATCTTCACCATCGGCACATCCAACACCACGGGCGAGTCGGACACCGTGGTGTGGAACGAGATCCACCACAAGACCGAGTTTGGATCCAACCTCACGGGCCACGGCTACCCAGACGCTAGCTACCTAGACAACGTGCTGGCAGAGCTCACAGCCCAGGGTGTGTCCGAGGCTGTGGCCAAGGCCTGAGGCCCAAGGCTGTCCACCTTCCCTCCTGCTTTGCCACTGGTCCAGCACATGCAGCACATGCCTCCCTCCGCCAGGTGTGTCCTGGCGGCCCACGTTCAGGGCTGGGGAGGAGCCTGCAGGAGGAAGCAGAAGCGCTCCCGGGATTTGGCTGGTAGCAGTTGGGATGATGGGAGGATGGCGGGCCAGCCGGCTTCGACCCTAGCTACCTGAGAGTGTCGCAAGGGTGTACCGGAAACCACAGCAACCTCCCTACCAAAAAGACAGAGAGCCCCACCCCCTCACGCAAACACACGTGTCCTGTTGAACACATGCACGCACACCCACGTGCCTCTACTTACCCCCAGACTGGGGGGGAAGAGACAGAAAGACCCCTGTGATGATACTCCATGTGGATTCCCATCTGTGTCTCTATCGCATCTGTACAGGCTTGTCTGCAAACAAAAGGACTCGGGTCAAGCACTTGGGGGCCTGGTGAGGGTCCGGGAGAAAAGGGGGCACTTGGGAGCCTCAGCCTCCCCCCATCTCTGCCACCCACTGATGGGCAGTTGTGGGCCCACAGGGTGGAAGCTCCCAGAATATTCAGCAGTTTTGCAAAGGGGCGGGCCAGGGAGACAGACGAGGAGAATCTTATTTTGTGCTTGTGTCTCTTCATCCTTCTGCGACCCTGACCTCCTTCTTCTCCCCTGCCATCCCCAGGCCTTATGTCTGTCCCTGATAAAGGCACTGTTTTCCTTTCCTCCCCACCCCATTCTCTCCACCAAATCGCTCCCAATGTCAAGATCCAAAGGCTGGAGCATCTGGCTTCAGGAGTGAGACAAGGAGGGCCTGGCTTAGGCCAGAAGGTTTAAAAAGCAGACCGGACAGCAAAGAGTCCATTTCCCTTTCCTTGGAAGTGGGCAGTGGGGTGGCTGATGGTCTCGGCCAACCAGGGGCCTGTTGCCCAGGCAACTCACCAGCTCTGCCTCTGTTGATTGGCTGCCACGGCGGAAGTCAGCCAAGATTTAAAGGGACGCCAGTGATTGCTCTTTTGAAAATCTACCAGTCCCACTGTGGGTGGAGAAATAAATGGTCTTTCTCCTCCTCCGCTGGGTCTTTTCCTGTCAAGAAGGGGTGTGCGTGGCTCTGTTTCTGGGGGCTTTCGGTCCATCCCATGGGAGAGCTTGCAACAAAATGATGACCCAGGACCATTGCCCCGTCAGCCTTGGGCAGCTGGAGATGGAGGGTCCCCATACTTCTCTTGTCCTGGGGCAGGCAGGGGGTGATGGTGGCAGAGGCAGACCCTCCCAATCCTAGTCCCCAAGAGGGCACAGGTGAGAGTCTCAAGCACGGGCACGGCAATGCACACAGCTGCTCCCTGGTACAATTACTAGGAACCAGGAACTTGGGCTGGGAGCTGCGAGCCTCCTGGAAAATATGGAGGAGCTGGGAGACGCCGTGGTCGGCTCGTTGGAACCTCAGAGCCCCAGCCTCTGCCCTCAGGGAGGAGGACCAGGTTCTGTCTAGGGAGAGACAGGGACGTATCCCGGGATCTGCAGCAAGTCTCCTCTCAGTCTCTGCAACATCCCAGGATGCTAGGAGGCTGTGGTGGACGCCACGGCTCCAGGCGACCCCTTCCGGCCACGCTCAGGATAGCACTGCATCTGGTCCATGTTACCGCCACCACACCCCACTCCCCCAGCCAGATAGGCTTAGGTTTCTGTCCTACCCTCTAGTCACACAAAACTGGAAATGAGTCTTTGGAGGCCCTTCCAATTCTGCCAGTTGGGTGTTCCCAAACATTTTACCTTCTGTGATTAATTCTCAAACAAAATCTCACCTCAATATACAAAATCACCCAGCCCCATGGTCCTCAAATCTCATGTGCATCCACATCACCTGTGGAACTTGTTTCAAACCCTAATTCCTGCCCTCACGCTCCCTCAGATTCTGATTCAGGAGATCTGGGCGCGGTCCCAGGAATATGCATTTCCAGCAGACAACCTGAGGGTGGGCTTTGAACCACAGTCTGAGAAATCCCTCCCTGGCTCCCACGCTATCCCCATGGAACCCATTTTGAAAACCACACATCTAGACTCACTCCCTCCTCATTTTATACAGGGTAAACTGAGGCTCAAAGAGAGGGAAAGAGCCTTGTCCAAAGTCTCCCAAGGGTCTGAGTCACGCACGCTGGGCTCTCAGCCTCAGTTATTCCTGAGGGCACCTGATTCTGGAGGCTTGCGGTTAGGATTCTCGGCCAAGGACAGGGTTCAGGAGGATCAATGTGGCTACAGGGATTGGCAGACATGAAAACAGGAAGGGCTGAGCCTGTTTAGTGCCTATCTGGGGCAACAAGGCCACATGGGCATCAGGGATTCAGGTACAGCTGTATCCAGCAGCTCAGGGCCAGGCTGGCCATGTCAGTGTGGGTAGAGGCCAGTCCTGTGAAGCAGAAACCTCAGGCTGAGACAAGTGGGTTAGGTTCCTTATTCCATCCACTCCAGAGTGCCTCAACCCAGAGGGTAAGACTCATTCAGTGCAAGGATGGTCCCCTGCCAAAGGGTTTCCATGCCTGGGTTCTCAGCTTAGGACACATGGGATTAGGATATCTCCAGGAGCCTGCAAGCCACAGCATCCATGAGGTACCAGACAGCCACGAGGAGACTCCTGGGCCAGGGGACGCTGAGAAGGGCCCACCGGCTCTTTTAGCCTCCTTTCAGGCTGGCTCTGGCGTGTCCTCAGGGCCTCAGGGGGCCTGGGGCCACCTTCCGCTGCTCCTGAGGCTGGAACTCCTCGTGGGCTTGATCCAGGTCTGCGAGCACCTCCAGCAGACGGGCAGCTGCCTCTCTCTGGTGAGCCAGGGCAGCAGGACAGGCCGCTGGGAGAAAGAAAAGGAGGCCACAGGGGCTCAGCGAGGCCAGGGCAGGCTGCTGTAATTCAGATCCAGTGGCTTCCTCAGGCTCCATACGTGCCTGGTGCCCTGAGATCCTAAAATGTGCCAGGGCCGCATACACACAGCCCTCTGGCCTGCTGGTGGACTGGAAAGAGGAGAGTGGGAGGGGAGGACAGGGCAGGGTGCTGAGCAAGTTGTGGGAGGTATCAGAGAGAGCAAAGAAAAGGGACCTCCTTATCCCCTTACCTTCCGTGGCACTGGAGCCCTTCTCTGTGTCTGCCTCGGGAGTCGTATCCAGGGTGGAATCCTCCAGGAATTTCATCCTGAAAGTTAAGAGGGAGAAAACCAAGCTGGTTCCTGAGTCCCAATGCTGCTCTCGAACCCAGAGATTCTGCTGGCTGAAGGAGACATTACAGGTTCTCACTAAACCATCATCATCACAGCAAACATTTATAGCATGTCAGATCCTATTCTAAGCCCTTTACATGTATAAACTCATTTAATTAGCACAAAACACATGTAGGTACTTACTGTTAGCTCCGTTATACAGATGATCACTGAGACACAGAGAAGTAATGTAACTTACCTAAGGTCACACAGCATAATAATAATTGTCACCCTTTATTGAAAGCTAATTATGTGGCCAGGCACCTACAAAGTGCTTTACCTGTATTAGCTCATTTGTTCCTTAGGACAACCCCATGAGGTATGTACAATTGGTACCCTTATTTTCCAGATGAGGAAACTGAGGTAGAGAAGGTAAGCAACTCGCCCAAGATCACACAGCCAGTGAGTAGCCAGTCCAGGATTTGAACCCAGGCAGGCCAGCTTCAGAACCCACACTATAAGTTGGAACACATCTCCATCACTGAATGACAGTGATCCTGAGGCCAGCCAGCAAGGTGGAGGGACACATCCAAGCTCTGTGCCCTCTGTCTCTGGAGTCCTGGGCATCAAAAGATCCCAAGATCCATGGGACTTCCCTGGCGGTCCAGTGGTTAAGATTCTGTGCTTCCAATGCAGTGGGTGCGGGTTCGATCCCTGGTCAGGGAACCAAGACCCCACATGCTGCGTAGCAAGACCAAAAAGTAAAAATTTAAAAAAAAAAAAAAAGATCCCAAGATCCAGTTCCACATTAGGGTCCACCTGAGGATGCTTCCCCGTCCTCCCCTGGAGCCTGCGCCCCCGGAAGCTCATCAGATGCACATGGAAAGAAAGAACATGTGGACGTGGGGAGGGCACAGTGGGTAGCTGCCCCAGCAGGGCATAGTGAAGTGGGTTGGGTGGTGGGGAGGACCCACCTGAGCCGGTCCCGCCCTAGAAGCAACTGCCGATACACCATTTGGGTCTCAGCATCGGGATCCAGCGGGTCACTCCAGTCCCCCAGGGTGACGGCTGAGTGTGTGCGGCTGCAACCGGCCGCTGAGGGGAACACGGCATCATCATTAACCTCCCATTCCCCTTTCAGAAGCCCCATGGCCAAGCCCTGCCCCTTCCGCCTCTAAAGTCACCCTTCAAACCTACTACTTCCCTCAGCCCCACTGCCTCAACCTCCGCCCAGAAGAGCCATAGTCTCACTTCTCTCCATCCCCCTCCCACATTCTAGGCTCCAGCCACAGACCTTTTGCAATCCTTCAGCCCACGTTTGCTCTGCCTGAAACACTCTTCCTTCCTCCAACTTCACTACTTAACTCTTATCCTTCTCAGGTCACATTTAAGTGGCACCTACTCCAGGAAGCCCTCCTTGCTGTCCTAACCTGGGGCTGGGTCAGAGGTGTTCTCTGGAGTCTCAAAAGCCACACCTTGGCACTTGTAACACTGTATTACAATGGTCTGGTTATTCACTTGTTTTCCTTGAGAGCAAGCCTGATGTCTGTGTACCACTAGACGCCTGGTGTTTAGTGGGTGCTTAAAAGATATCTGTGTGCCAGGCAGTGTTCTAATCGCTTTGCATATGTCAACTTATTTACTCCTCACAGCAACCCTACAAGGTGGACACTATTATCAACCCCATTTCTCACTTGGGGAGACTTCAAGGCAAGAGAGAGGTTAAGGAACTCGCCCAAAGTTGCAGCGCCAACCCAGGATGAGGTGGGACACTCTCTGATTGACAGGTGTGGAGGGCGGGGCCTGAGTCCGCCCCGCCCCGCCCCCTCACCTGAGCGCTCGGCCTGGAGGCAGCAGGTCCAGTGCGCGCTGCGGAACGCACCGGGGTGCCAGGCGGCCAGCTTGTCCGGATTGGGGGCGCTGGCCTTGCGCAGGGCCGATAGCCACTGGTTGAGCTCGTTCACGTTCTTCAGGGAGTTGGTGGGGGGCGGTCAGAGGTGGGGTGGGACCCAAGGGGCTCCCTCCGCTCCTCCCTCATATTCGCGGCGCCTCACCTTGCACTGGAGGTAGGTGGTGTGCAGCGCTCCCGCGCCGTCCTGCGTCACCACCTGCATCACGTGCGGCAGCTGGAAGGCGCCCTCGTCCACGCGCTCCACGGCGCGGATGTGCGACACCGGCATGGAGGATCGCGTCTGTGAGAGAGGACTGTCGCTGCCGGGCGGGCCGGGGACAGCTTTCCTGTGGGTGTGTGCCCTGGCGTGGGGACATTCACCCCGCGCATCTGTGCTATGTGCGTGTCCACTTGGCAGTTCCGTGAGTCCTGCAGTCCTGGCCCATCACTCTCTAAGTGACAACGTCTCTGGACATCAGTTTCCACCATCCTCATCTTCCTCATCGCAACCCCTGACACAGCACTTGAGATGTAGTTTAAGCACGATACATTTCTCAACTTATTTCATCATTACAACAAACTTCTGAGGCTGGGTCTATTATTCCTCCCAATTTATAGATGAGGAAACTGAGGCACAAGAGGATTAAAGGACCCTCCTGTGGTCACTCAGCTGGTGGAGCCAGAATTGAAACCCAGAGTTGAACTCTAGAATCTACACTCTGCTGATAAAGTAGAAAGAATAAGTGGTGGGCACCCTCTCCAGTGTTAGCTATTATGATCTGTAGATGTGCAGACACAGAAATGGGTAGATCCAGTGTGTGTCTCAGTTTGTGCTAGACTTGAATGGCAGCCCCATGAGAGCAGGGAGTTTATGTCTTGTTTACTGTGGTATCTCCAGTGACTAGAACACTGCATGGTACATAGTAGGTGCTCGAATAAATGCTTGATGGATGAATGAATGAGTGAACAAATGTCTGGATGTGAGTGCCTGTCCAGCCGGGCATGTACCTCTGGGTGAACAGATCCAATTGTCTGTGAGTCTCTATGGTATGTGGGCAGAGACCTGGGTGGTCACATCTGAGTGGGGTTAAGCAGTGTCCATGCCCTGTGCATGTCCACATCTGGGAGGATACGTCCCAGCCACCATAGGTGCATGTTCTGAAGAATGTTTGATGCTATGTGTAGGCGTCTGCCTGTCCGTGTCCTGTGCCCACACTGACCCAAAGATATGAGCAGAGCCTGGCCTCAGAGTTTGGACTTGCTAAGCTGCCACGGGGCCTTGGGCAGTCCTTGTCCCCTCCTGGACCTCAGTATCTCCCTGGGTACAAAGAGGCAGCTCTATGAGTGAGGCCACCCCTGGAAAACCCTCCACAGTGGGCTGGAGCCCCACCTGACACTCAGGACTCCTAGAGTAGGAGAGCATCTCCCCGCTGAGCCGGAAGTAGCGCTTCTTGAACGCAAAGCGTGTGGCCAGGCCGGCGGGCTCTTCCTTGCGCTTGAGCAGGTAGCCTTCTCGAACGGTCACCGAGGGCGGGACCAGGGCCCTGCCTGGGCCCCCAGGCTCTGGGAAATGGGGAGGGGGGACTGTGAACCCTTCCCACCCAGGCTCAACCTGCCGAGGGCCTCATGGAGGAGCATGATTCTTGGCTCCCTAGAGGCAGGAGGATGGAGAAGATGACTTTGGACTCCACTTTCTCCATAGGGAATGGGGGCTGGGGGTGTCAGGGAGTGGGGGGCCCAAAGCTGGCCTTGGCGATCCCTTTCCGGCTTGAGGGATATGCAGGTAGCCAGCAGGGGGAGCCACGCCTTATGGAGTCAGTCCAGGGAGTGCCCTGGATTTAGCCACCCTTAGGGGTCCAGACACAGGCCCTCCCCAGCACACAGGGACCTCATCAGGCCACAACCAGGCCTCCACATTTTGACAGGCTGCTCCTATGTGACTTGGACCAACTGTCTCATAACCCGGGCCCCACACTCTTATATAGACTCACCCCCAACTCCTCTGCTTAAAACTATCCCGTAGTTCCATTTCACTCCAGGTGAAAGCCAAAATCCTTCCAGCAACCCCACATGATCTGCCCCCCTCACCTCTCTTTCACTCCCCCTCATTCATTCTTCTTCACTGGCCCCCTCACTGTCACTCTCTGTCCCCACCTCAGGGCCTTTGCACATGCTGTGCCCAGCCTGGAACACTTCCCCAGGATCCTCATGGCTTGCTCTCTGTCCTCTTTCAGGTCTTTATTCTAATATCACCCTAGTGAGGCCATTCCTGGCCACCCTCTCTAAAAGAATGACCTGCCACCCCCAGCCCAATATTCCCTTCCCTCTTTTATTTTTTCTCCTAAGCACTTATCACTCCGTTAACACATGTGATTTGGTAATTAATCTTGTTTACAGCTTGTTGTCTCCACTAGAATAAAACTTCCAGGAGAGCAGGACTTTCTTCTGTTTCATCCACTGCTGTTTCCCCAGCACCTGGAACAGTGTCTATTACAAAGTAGGCACTTAATAGATATTTGTCAATTGCATGAGTACCATGCCATGATTCCCACTCACATCTCCACACAGGCTGGAATGGTCTGGAGGGCCTGAGTCTGTTCGTCTGTGGGACCTAGCACGGTATGTGCCAGGAAATGTTAGTTGACTGACTAGCTGACCCACAGGTCCACGGTCTCAGTGCTAGGGGTGGGGGAGGGGTGGTACAAGGGCAGGTCCCGAGGGTCCAGTGGAATGACAAGCTGGCTGTGGCAGGGCCACAGGAACTCACCCTCCTTCCCATCCACATCCACCAGCTGGTCCAGGAAGTCTCTCACACGCGAAATACTCTGCAGCAGGAAGGGGTGTAGGGGGGCCATCCACAGCTCCTTGCCCTGGCCCAGCTGCTGGCCCAGGTTTCCAATGCTCTGCACAGCCTGGAGCAAAGAAGTAGGGGATGCCAGCACCAAGGTCACTGCAGTGAGGAAGGCCCTCTGTAGACCCAGAACAGAGCCCCAGAGTCCTGGCTCCCAAATCAGTGCTCAAGAAAAGGAGAAAATTCCTAGCAGCACCTGCTTTAGACGATATCTGTCCCTAGATATGTATCCCCAGTGCTTTTATTTTGTCCCCTCCTGAACCCAGATAACCCCATTCAGGACTGCTTGATGCCATCATGCATACTCGAGCCCATCAGAACCTCAGAATGTGGCCCCTTTGCAAAGGATAGTCTAATTCATACTAAAGCATAAATGACTGCTAGCCTGCTTCCCGCTTTGCCCCTGGAAGGGTAGAGATTTTGTTCCAAAGAGGGAATTAGAAAGAGAAATGAATGCTGTCACATTCAGGATGGAAAGCTAATGGTGCCGTTTCAAACAGAGGTTTCTCTGGGTCTCATTTGGGTCTTCCATGGGTCCGGCCTCCACTCTGTTCCTCCCATGCTTCTCACTGGCTAAGGGCACCCGAGATGGGGGGGCCGGCACCTTGGCAAGCAGCAGCAGTGAGCGTCTGGTCTGGGGATCTGCGTGCTGGTCCCGAAGGTCAAACAGCTTCGGGGTGAGGATGGCAGGAGCGAAGAATCGCAGGAAGAGAAAGCCACTTATGGCCAGGTTCTTCACATCCTGCGGAGAGGAGCGGCAGGTGAGAGGGGCCCCTCAAATCCACTTCTCAGCTGGGGAAACTGAGGCAGCAAGGACTAAAGATTGGTGGTACAAGGGGAAGTAGAATGGGAGACAGGTCAGGAGGCCATCCTGGTCTGCCGAGGAGGCTTTTCCTCTCTGGGCCTCAGTTTCCCCACCTGGAAAATGGAGTAATAATACCAATCCTGCACGATCAGAATTAGCCAAACAGCCTCAGAGTCTGCTTTGTGCCAAGCACTGTGCTAATGGCACAGCCCTATGAAAGAGGCATCATCATTATTCCCAGTTTACAGCTGAGGAACCAGAGGCTCAGAGGTGTCAAGTGACTTGCCCAAGGCCACACAGCTATAAGTGGCAGAGCCAGGATTTGAACCCAGGCAGGATTTGAACTCTGCTCTTCACCACACTCTCCTGCATTCAACACTAGCTACGGAGTGTCAAAAACTAAGCCTGAACTGTCACATTTACTCTAAGGCAATCCCATGGGGGTAGATACTATTATCTCTGTTTTCCAATGAGGAAACTGAGGCTCAGTAGTGAACCCAGTTCAGCTGGCCCCCTTGCACATCCCCCAGCCCCAGCCTCTGCCCCCTGCAAACTGTAAAGTATGGTGCCCCTCTGTGTGAGACCCAGGCCTGGCCCACCTGCATGCACGTAAGGCTGGTGCCCCCAGCTCCAGCAGAGGGGACTTGGGGAGAAGGTGTCTCTCTATCCTGGGTGCAAGCTCCCCCCAGGGGGCTCCTCACCTACCCCTCACACTCACCAAGCTATATTTAGCCCGAGAATGTGCTGCAGTGTTTATTTAGGGGTTGTATTCACACATAAGACAATACCCTCTCTGGGTGTGTGTCAACTTCCCGGGGGCACCTCTGCGTTGACAGTGAGCCCTGACAGGAGCTGGGCACCTGGAGCTGCCCAGAGGTGAGGGTGGAGGTCCCACTCATCTGGAACCCTGAACTGCCCCCAAGGCTGCCCCCCCAGCCCACCATGTTCCAGGGTAATTTTAGCCTTTGATATCAGCTCATCAACTTCCTCCTTTCTTAAGAAGGAGGAACAAGTATCAGAGCGGCGAAGAAAGGGGCTCCCTTGGGTTCCTGCGACCCCACCCATCCTCGTGGGCCTGAGGAAGTCCCTGCTCCCTGCCCGTGGCCTCTGCCTACCATGGAGGCTGAAAACTGGGGGACACTTGGGTGTCATTGATCTTGGTTCCTCCCACAAGGGCCAGGCCGTCTGGGGCGCTGGCCTCCCGCTTCCCTCCCTTCCTCCCTGCCTTGGCTGTGTCCCACTTAGCACCTCCACTGGCAACCCAGGCAAGAGCCCTGCAGCTTTGGGGTAAATCACTCGTGTCCCAGTTTGGAGGCCCAGAGCTCACTCCTCAGGCAGGGATGAGGGAAGAAGGAAGAGGTTCCCACTGCGAGTCTGGAGGCCTAGCCTTGAGTCCACGGCTCTTGGCCAAGGTGCCTCACCTCTCTGGGCCTCGGTTTCCCCATCTGTAAGTGGGGAGAGGTGTGGCATAAATCAGGACCTCTTAACCCAGGCTCTAGGGGTTGGGCCATTACATCTCCAACATTTAGTGGGTCCTAGATCTTTCTGCAAAGCGAACCCCAGTCTGCATTTCTATTATGTCAGTGCTGTGTAAGACCTAGCCTCACTCGGTGTCATTTGTAAGCAAGGACCGTGACCGCCACCTCGGAAGGCATGCTGAGCATTAAACCTGGGGGTCTCAAACTGGCAACCCACAGGCCAGTCCAGCTGCAAACGTGTAATGATTGGCTCAAAGTATTATTGTTGTGTTATTGTTGTTAGGTAAACTAGTGCCAAAATTTAAAAAATAAGATTCCACACATAAAATCCAGACTGTTGGATTAAAAAACAAAAAAACTCTGAAGATCAGGCAATATTGGGTCCCCATTCCTACATGGCAATAATTGATTGTCTGGATCTGCCCCTTTAAGACAAGCTGTGGGAGCTCCAGTTTGCCACAGTCCCTACCACTCCCTACTGTACAACACCTTGACTGCTCTGTTCATTTACCTCACCTGCCTGAACCCTACAGCACCTAGAGTTCAACTTTTGTACCAGTATTAGAAAAGCACTAGCAGGTGCAGGGATTTCTTTTTAGACTTTATTTTAGGTGTCTGCTACTGAGTACTGTGTGCCAGCCATCTCTGTCTCTCTGTCTCTCCTAATAGCTGGAATTTAAGAAGCACTTGCTTTGCGCCAGACTGTATTATTTGGTGGTTATGAGCACAGGTTCAGGAGTCTGCCTGGGTGGGTGCCTATCCCATCACTACCCCCTCCTAGCTGTGTAACTTAACCTCTCTGGGCCTCAGTTTCCTCCTCTGTAAAATGGAATAATACTGGCACCCGGCTCGTAGGGTGGAAGTGAAGACTAGACGAGGTAATAAATGTGTAAAACAAGGTCTGACTCCTAGAAAGGGCTATATATAGTGTTAACTGCTATTATTATCATCATCACGATCACCATCATGATCACCCCGGGTCCCAGAGCCTATCAGAACGCTGTCCCCACTTCTGCCAAGACACACAGCACTTCAGCGTAGGCAGCCCAGGTTTTGTCCCGCCCCTGCCCTTCCTCTCCCTGTGACCCTGGACAAGCTACTGCCCCTCCCCAGCCTCAGTCTCCCCATCTGCCCAGTGGGAGTGCCTGGCCCACCTTGTGCTCTGCCTGGGGAAAGCGCTCCTCCACGCACTGGCGCAGCTGCTTGAAGGCGAGACGGATGGCGGGCGGGCAGCGCCCCACGGAGCCCACAATGGTATCCAAGATGGGCCCCAGGTAGCCCGTCAGCAGTCCCAGGCTGGCCTCCCGCACGTGCTCCTCGGAGGGTGCACCCTTGAAGGAGATTCTCCTGGGGGAGCAAGTGGAGGGCTCCACCTCAGAGCCTGGCATCTGCCTGCTCGAAACCCTCCATGGGCCCCCACTGAGCTCAGAGAGCACCCACCTTCCCATCCCATCTCCATGGCCTCCCCTCCTACCATTCCACTGCAGCTGCTTCAACACACGGAGCTTATTTCTGTCTTGGAGCCTTTGTACCTGCTGATCCCCCTGCTGGGAATCACCTCCTCAAAGAGGCCATCCCTCCCCCACTGCTCATCATCACGGACCCTGGTTCAGTGCATTTTCAGCATGGACCTGCCAGACACACACTCCTGCCCCAGGACCTTTGCACTTGCAGTTCTCCTTGCCTGCAACACTCTTCCAGCAGATCTGTGCACGACTCCCTCCCTCAACTCCTCCAAGTCTTTGCTTCCATGTCCCCTTCTCTGGGAGGCTGTCCCTGTGACACCCTACGGAATATTGCAAGCCCCTCCCCTGCTTCTGGCTCTTGCCAGGACCCTCCCTCACTTTATCTCCCTCCTTTCCACTGATCGCCTGCAATAACCTTCTTTAGTTTACTATCTGTCTCCCCTGAGAAGAGGGACTTGTGTCCATTTTCTCCCTGCTACGAACTCAGCTTTCAGCCCAGTGCCTGGCACATAGTAGGTGCTTAACAATTGTCTCGTTGAATAGACGATGGAATAGCACTTTTCTACCTGCAATGGCCTTGCTCCCTTCCTTCCTGTCCCCATGCAGGTTTAGGGTCTGTCTTGCCTACCCTCAGATTGTGAATTCCATGGAAACCAGGCTGGGGGTTCTCAACCCCACTGTGCCCTGGACCCAACAAGCTAAGCCCTGAACTAATTGTCTCTGGCATTGAATCATTTAATCCTAATGGCAACCCAGTGTTAGATTAAGTAGGCTGATTGTTCCCATTTAACAGATGAGGAAACTGAGGCTCAGAGAGGTCCCCTTGCAAATAGGTGGCAGAACAGAGATTATAACTCAAGACTGCCGGTTCCAGAGTCTGCCCAGTTTCCTGGATGCTCCAGCTCCCTGCGGGCGCCCACTGACTCCCACCATCCTTGCCAGGGGTGCTGGGAAAAGCCCTGGCCTAGGGGTTTCACAGATGGACTCTGCCCTTCTGCTCAGGGCCTGGATTCAAATCCCCACTTTGCAACTTCCCAACTGTGCAACCTTAGGCAGGTGACCTCCCCTCTCTGAGCCTCAGTTTCCTCATCTGTAAAGAGGGATCCTAATACCTGCCTCCGGGGTGGTCGGAAGGTGTGGGCAGCACTTGCTGGGCAAGGCCCAAAGTGAAGGAAAGACCCTCTCCTGCCTCCACCATGGTCCCCAATGGACTGCCCAGCAACCGGCTCGGATGGCTTGGCAGGAACAAGCCCACCCACCCTAGCTGGAGGAGGAAAGTCCTGGCAAGAAAGGAGGAGCCCATGGGCTTCCCCGGCGGTCCAGTGGTTAAGACTCTGCACTTGCACTGCAGGGGGCGCGGGTTCGATCCCTGGTCAGGGAACTAAGATCCCGTATGCTGCACGGCACGGCCAAAACAAAAAAAGAAAGGAGGAGCCCAGGGAGGCATGAACTGACTCCCCCGACCCCGTCACTGCCCTGCTCCCTAACCCCATGTCATCGAGCGCTGCAGGATGCCACCTCTGCTCGCAGACCCACACTGGGCCCTCCCCCAAGGGCCTCAGCCACCACCACCAGGATAACAGAAATAACTAGTACTTATGGAGTATTAGTTAATGCTGGGCTTTGTGTATATAACTCAGTTAATTCTCATGACAATCCATCAGGTAGATATTCACGGGGGTTTAAGTAACTTGCCCAGCAGGTGTGGCAGAGCTGGGATTTGGACCCAGGGAGCTCATGTCTCAGAGTCCTGCCCATAACCACTGCACGACACTGTCTGAGGGGCTGGGCGCTTGCAGGGGAGGCTTTGGGGTAGAATGCGGGGCTCCTGAGCAGTCGTGCTGGAGGGAGGGGTGGCGGGCAGTCGGCAGAGACCCGGCCTGACAAGGCTGCAGGCAGACAAGGGGCCGGTGGAGGGTTCACCCCTCAGGCTTGGCTCACCTCGTGCGGCCCAGGTCCATCTTGCACGGGTCCAGCTCCATGTACTTCTTCTCCTCGAAGACGCGGTTAATCACCGGCCTCAGGACCTCGTGCAGGTAGGGCATGCCCACGAGCTGGGGGCAGGGGGGCACCACACGGGGCGGGGCTGAGGGCGAGGCCAGGGTGTGCCCGTGAGCGAGGGTCAGGGGGACCACGCAGGGAGAGGTTCAGAGCGAGGTGGGGGCCTGCCCAAGGGCTGGGGTTGGGGTGCAACTCAGGGCTAGGCCAGCCACCAGCCACCAGCACCGCAGCTCAGCCACCCAGTGCCACCTGAGGCTGGCCAAGCTCTGGGGTCCGAGTAAGCACTGGGAAGGGAGTTCCCTTGAGGAAGCTGCTGCCGGGCCCCCCCAGGCCTTCACCAACTCACCTTCAGAAACTGTTCCATTGACTTGGATGCCAGGGAGTTAGAACGGAAGAGGGTGTTGGGGTCAGCTGGGAGGACAGAGGGAAGTGTTTGCTGGGATTTGGGGGGCTGAATCCACCTCACCCCACCCACCCAAGGTGGGGGTCATGATTCTTCCAGCCTCAGGAATTGAGGAGATTTGCAACGTCAACTCCGTTCACAGTACAAAGGCCCGGAGTGGTTAAGTGAGCTGCCTAAGGTCACACAGCTCATGAGTAGCAAAACCAGGGCCTGAACCCAGGACCATGCTCCCAGCTGACTGGGAGTGCACAGCCCGTGCCACCTCCGACACATACAGACACAGCAGCCCCTGCCCTCTGCCTGAGGCCTCCCCATTTCTCTCCCAGAGACGCGCTGCAGACTCATCCTTGGGGAGTGAGGGTCATGCAGGCATGAGGGTCATGCAGGCAACTCACTGGTCCGTGCCACCTCACGCCGGGTGAGATAGTCCAGAAAGGGCCCAGCCAGGCCCTGTCCAAGAAAGAGCTTCACCAGCTTGGTGGCAAGCTCCTGGCGGCAGTCCCCCGAGGTCAGCTCCTCCAGGACAGCCAGGGGGCTGGCAGCATCTTCCTGCACAAGGACAGGAGGCAGGAGAGGTGGCCTGGGGCCCTGGGACCCCAAAGCAGAAAAGCCCAGCTAGACATCCCTGAAGCAAGGGGAGGCCATGATCCAGATCCCTGCCCACCTGCAGTGATGCACCCACCTCTGCCGGCCCCAGCACAGACTCCATGAGCAACTCCCTGAGTGGCTGGTAGTACTGGGAGGGCAGGACGCGGTCCTCGGTCAGGCGCACCTTCAGCCGAAGAGCACCCAGGCTCCCCCTGGCCAGGGCCAGATCACAGGTGAAGGAACGTAAGTATGTATGGGCCAGCGCGGTGAGCCAAGGTAGTCAGGTGTGAGTACAGGTAAAGAGCATAGATATTTGTAAAACAAGACAGGTGTGGACAGGTGTGGGCAGGTGTGGCCAGTATAAACAGGTGTGAACAGATATCAACCGGTATAAATACTGTAATAATACAAGCTGAAGGTGGTACCCAACATGGTTCCAGCCCAGCCTCCTCCCTCTGCACCCACGTTTACCCAGAATCCTCCTCCGCTCTGGGAAAGGGCAGGAGGTGGAACCAGCCATTGGGCGGGTTCTGCTGTAGGACCTGCGGGGGGAACTCCACCTGTGGGGGGAACACACAGACCCTCAGCAGAGCTCTGCCCCACCCAGCCCTGGAAGAAGAGGTCGGGCTGCCCACCCAAGGAGGGGCGGCAAAGCCCGCCAAGGGCTACCTCCTCCTCCCATACCGTATCCTGAGGGCCTCCAGGGGACACTTAATTTACAGTTGAGGAAACTGAGGTTCAGAGAAGTGGAGTGACTTGCCCGAGGTCACACAGCTGCTAGAGACAGCATGTCTGGACTGAGTGTATTTTCAGCTCTGTTTAGGGACGAAACTTGCATCTATCAAAAGGCATAGAGGGAATTCCCTGGTGGGCCAGTGGCGTGGCCAAAAGTAAATAAATAAATAAATAATAAAGACAGTCCCGAAGGCCCGCAAGCCCCACCTCCCTCTCTTTTTAAATAACAACTTTACAGAGCTACAATTCACATCCCATACAATTCACTGGTTTAAAGCGCATGATTCAGTGGTTTTTAGTATATTCACAGAGTTGTGTGACCATCACCACTAATTTCAGTCCATTTTCTATCAGTTCCCCCGCCAAAAAAAAGCCTATACCCATTAGCAATCACTCCCCATCCCCCAGCCCCCGGCAACGACCTATCTACTTTATGTCTTTATAGATTTGCTCGTATTAGACATCTCATATAAATTAAATCATATAAGATGTGGGAGCTTTTGGACTGACTTCTTTCCCTTAGCATTGTGTTTTCAAAGTTCATCCACGTTGTAGCATGTGTCAGTGCTTTGTTCCTTTTTATGGCTGAATAGTATTCCATTGTGTGGATATACTACATTTTGTTTATTCATTCATCTGTTGATAGACGTTTGGGCTGTTTCTACTTTTGGCTATTATGAACGATGCTGCTATGCACATTAATGTAACCTTTCTGGTGTGGATATAAGTTTTCATTTCTCTTTGGCACACACCTAGGAGTAGAGCTGCTGGGTCACGTGGTAGCGCCGTCTTTAATCATTTGAGGAACTGCCAGACCGTCTTCCAAAGCCGCCGCACCACTTTATAGTCCCACCAGGAGTGCACAACCAAGTCTTCCTCTTATTTGCTCTAATATTGCCTCCTTTTAAAAACTGTCAGCCTTTGGAGTTCCCTGGTGGCCTAGTGGTTAGGATTTAGTGTTTTCACTGCTGCGGCCCAGGTTCAACCCCTGATTACGCAGTGCGGCTGGAAAAAACCCCAAAACTGTCAAGTCTGGGTATACATCCACTACTACTGAGAGGCAAGAAAAATCACACGCATTTTACAGATGGGAAGACTGAGGTTCCAAGAGAAAGACCTTGAGCCCAGTGCTTCCAGGAGTAAGAGTTAGACTTAGATTCTGGAATCAGAGAGACCTGAACTCAAATCTTGACTCTGCCATTTCTTAATCATATGACCTTGGGAAAGCCACTTAACCTCTCTGAACCTTCGTATTCCCATCTGTAAAACGGGGACAACAATGGTCCTAGCCTCTTAACAGTGGCCATCAGGTGATGATGGCCAATGAGGTGATGCTGGAGAAGCACTTAGCACAGGGCTAGCAGAGAGTCATCCTGGGTACTTTCATCCCAGAATAAGAATCTGGGCCCACCCTGTGACCTTGGACAGGTTCCTGCACCAATGGAACAATGGCACTCCATCACCCAGAGGCCTGGCCAGGGGACCTGATGAGGCAGGCTTCACATCTACCCTTCCAAGCAAGCCCGAAGATGCCCAGCCCATCTCCCCCTTCACCCTTGGAGGCAATGGGAAGCCACGGAGGGTGTCAGGGGAGGCGGGTGTTGGGGGGGGCGTGCTCACCATGCCCAAGAAGTCATTCTTGCCAACCATGTCCCAGTCCCAGAGCTCCACCCGCAGCGGGGATGGGGGACCTGGCATCTCCCGCAGCTCCAGCACCTCATCCCAGTGTGGGAAGCGAGTCTTCTTGATGGTCTGGGAAAGGAGGGAGTGAGACAGAGAGCTAATGGGACCACTGTCCCCATTTTACAGGTGGTAAAACTGAGCTTCAGAGAGGTTAAGTGGCTTTCCCAAGGTCACCTGATGCCCCACTCTCCCGGCTCCGCTACACCACTTACCGAAGTCTCCAAGCTCTGGCTGCCCCAAAACACACGTGCAAATGGGTCAGATGTGCCGGAGATGTCTCGGGGGGCCAGGTCCCTGGGGACAGATGAAGTGAGGGGTGGGGGGGTCACAGGACCCTTGAGGAGCAAGACCTTGGAAAGGGGGTTCAGGGTAGACCATTCAAATACTGCTGGTTTCCAAGGCAACGAACTACCCCATTGTAGGGATCCAGCGAGGAGCATCCCTCACCAGAGCCATCCAAACCCAGTATCTTCCTATTGACTAATGCCACCCTACGAGGACACGCTACTATGCCCCTATTTTCTAGGGGAGGAAACTGAGGCACCGAAAGGTCAAGCTGAACATCACAAAGCAGCAGGTGAAGGTGCAGTGAGGAGGGGGAAGGGAGCCTCAGTTTCCCTGGAGCCTCTGGATGGCAGACCAGATGCCAGGGTTCAAAGCCTGACTCTCCCATTCACTGGCTGGGTGACACTAGGAAAATTTACTTTACCTCCCTGAGCCTGTTTCTTCATCTGGAAAATCGGAGTAATAACAGACCAACCTCACAGGGCCAAGGGTTAAATGTGACAATATGTGTAAAGGGCTCAGCATAGCAGCCGGCAGGTGATAAGTGCTCAGCTCACTCATTCACTCAACAAACACTCATGCCCACACTGTGCCTAGGACGAAGAAAAGGCATGAAGCAGGGCCCGCCTGCCTCTGGTTGCCATGACAACTCAAAGGCTCACCCCAGTCAGCCTCCCCCACCCCTCCTTCCCAAGGTCCCCCAAATCCAGGGACATTCCCCCACACACACGCCCAGGGGCTGCTTGTTTCCTCCCACTGCTCCTCTCCCACCCCTGCTCAGCATCCAAAGCCTTCTTTGGTTTCCTAGGAGCCAGCCTAGTTGCTAAGCGACTGCAATCAGTCCCTCTCCTGCTTGCAGGGATCCTGCACAGCTTTGTGGCTGGGGAGGAGGTCATGGGCACAGAGCAGATGAGGTGTCCCTGCCCCATACTGAGTCCTTTTGTTTGTCCTATGCCTGCCTGCTACTCCATCCAGACTCCAGGGAGCCCCAGCTGGGGACAGAAATCTGGAGGTTGTAGGAGAGGCACAGAGAGGGCAAGATAGGGCTTTAAGGTCACAGAGCAAACTAGAAATAGAGATCCAGCCCAACCTGGGCAAGGACTGGCCTAAAAGTAAGGGTCGAGGGAGTAAGGTGTTGAAATAAAACGCAGAAAACAAGATAGGAGCTGGGAGGGAAAAGAGGAGTGGAAGTATTTAAGGAAATAGAGGAATGGGGGAGCTGAGAAACAGAGAGGAGTAATAGGCAAGAAGGAAGATGAATATCCCAGGAGCTGCTGCCCCTGGAGGTTCATCTGCGGGTTTTACTGGTCCTGCATCCGTCTTCCTTCTTATGTTTCTTTGGGACAGGACCTACCCCTCCCTCTCTCCCAGTCCACATGACCTATGTGAGTTGATCCCTCCTTCCACTGCAGGAATGGGCTTGGAACTCAGGCCTGACCAGTCAGAGTCAGTGTAATTGGTTTAGTGATAGGCATGTACCCCAGACTGGGTCAATAAGAATTAGTCCCAGGATATTGGTTGGAAATGGTGAAAGACAGACGTTCTTTTTCCATTGGAGCTGCCAAGTTGATAGGATGCCAGTCTGGGGCTTCTGGGGTCATCTTTGCCCCTACCTTGGGGAGAGACTGTCTGAGGATGAAGTTAATACAAAAGACATCCAAGGAATCTATTTCTACAGATTCCTGATGTCACTGTTGGAGCACCTGGATCCAGCCATGCCTGAAGCTGCATGTCATTCATACAAGCCAATCTGCTTAAGCCAGTATGAATTGGGTGTCTATCACTTACAATTTGATTAATACACCTCCACACTCATCTGTCTGGTTATCCTGAGTATCTGGCCTTTGGCTGCTACTCACTGGGGCCCCAACAAAGATTTTGCTTGTGCTTTAACCCAAGAAATTTGCAACCTGGTGAGCTTGGACCGTTTGCCTGCCAAGGATCCTGGTTGTGAGCCCAGAAGTGTGCCAGGAGAGAGGTGGTCTCAAGGCAGGAGGACCCAGTGGATTTCTGCTCATTCCCAGACCATCCCCCCATCCAATCCCCCATCATGACCATACCTGGCCTGGAGCACGTGACAGCGAAGACAACGGCCCCTCACATCCTCCAGCATCTGCACGGCCAGGCAGATCTCACCCTGCACCTCTGCATCAGGGTCCACATGGCTCAGGTTGATCCAGCTATCAATTCCTGGAGGGTGCAGGCACTAACATTCATTAAGCACCTACCGTGGGCTCGACATTGCATTAACTTAAAAATTCAATTAACATTAAAAAGGTATTGAGTCTTGGACCTCTCATGTTAGCCTTCTGTTGTAGGTACTGTAATTATCCCTGCTTCCAGATGAGGAAAATGAGGCACAGCGAGGAAGGAGCTTTGCCCATGATCCCACAGCTAGTAAACAGCAGAGCTAGGATTTAAACACAGGCAGTATAGTTCTAGGGCCAATGCCCCTAACCAGGGACTATCACACTCTTCATCCTGATATATAAAGCCCTGCGTCATTTAGTCCCAATATACTCTCCCCTCAAAAAACCTTGGGGCTGCCCTGGTGGCGCAGTGGTTGAGAGTCCGCCTGCCGATGCAGGGGACACGGGTTCGTGCCCCGGTCCGGGAAGATCCCACATGCCGCAGAGCGGCTGGGCCCGTGAGCCATGGCCGCTGAGCCTGCGCGTCCAGAGCCTGTGCATCCGGAGCCTGTGCTCCGCAATGGGAGAGGCCACAACAGTGAGAGGCCGGTGTACCGCGGAAACAAAAAAAACAAAAAAAACTTGGACATTCCTATCTCTGAGCCTTCATTCAGGCTCTCTGCTTGAATCAATCAAGTCAATCTTAGTCTCAGTCTTAACTTCTCCCTCTCTCCTTCTCCCTCTCTCTCATTTCTCTCAACACGTTAGAGATATTGTTCACTGACTTCCAGCTTTGATTGTAGTTATTGGGAAGTCATTTCAGCCTAATAATTGATCTTGTGTGAACAGTCTATCTTTGCCAAGTTTAAGGACTATGGCTTTGATGTTTGCTGCAGTTTCCCCACAATGTGTCTAGGTAAGGATTTTTTTTTTTAATCCTGCCTTAGTACAGGTTGTGCTTCTCCTACTTATGGACTCATGCCCTTCCTTGAGTTTTGGAAAATTCCAGGTGGTCAATTTTTTTTATCATTTCCTCTCCCCAGCTTTTTCTATTTTCTGCTTCTAGGGCTCCAATTAAATGAATGTTAGACCTTCTCAGTTATTTTCTATGCCTTCAACTTCGCTTTTACACTTTCCTTTTCACTTCTCTGGGCTGAGGTTTAAATAATTTCTTTCTGAATGAACGATCTGCTGTTGAACTCAGCCACTCAGTTTTCAATGTCAACAATTGTACTTTTTATCTCTAAAAGTTTGATTTGGTTCTTTTCCAAGTCAGTCTATTTTTTTAAGGTATTGCTTTAATTTATCATGGTTATTGCTGGCCCTTTCTGGTGATTAATTTATTGAATTTTTTAAATTTCTATAATCATAAATACAAAATCTAAAGTCTTTATGGGTCTAAATCTGATGGCCATTGTTTCTGCCGACTCTCGCTCATGGTGGCATGGCACACTTCCTTGAGTGTGTGGTATTCTTTGATTGTGAAGCCATGCTTGTTGGAGCTCACTCTGTGGGACATTCAACATGAAGATGCTTATCCCTGGAGAGCAGTGGTGGTTGCTTATTCTGGAACCTTTAAGGGTCTCAATCTAATGGGGAATTCTCAGATTCAGTAATATCTGTCTTCCCCCTAGCCTAAGATTCAGTCTGTTTGTTGACTGTGAATTTGATATTGACATTTACTTTCAGGGAAATCCTTCCTGATTTCCTTTCTTGTTGCTCACCACTCCCCGTTAGGTTTTAGCTCATGATTTGCAGGAGGTGGGGGGAGGAACACTGAGGGATTTTTCCTTCTTTACATCCTTCCAACAATGTATTAGGAATTGCATCTAATTCAGGATCTCACTGTTATGTGGCAGGAGGGCCCTTCTGAGGATCTAGTTCCCTCATGCTGCTGGAAGTGTAAGTTGCATCTCACCTCTCTAGCTCCACCGCTACCCCCAAGTCCAGGGTGCCATCAGTTTTTCTCACTTGATTATTGCAACAGATACCTAATTGATCTCCCACATCTACTCCTGTCCCACTGTGATCCAATATCCACACGGCAGCACAGAAACCTTCTGAAAATGTATCTAATCTCTTCTGTCAGTGCATCCTCTGATATTATGGCTCCAATCTCTTCACTGTCTTACTCAGGGACCATCGATGACTCCCTAGTGTCTCCAGAAGAAAGTCCAGACTCTGGCCTCCTCCCCAATCAACCCCCGTCAAGTATTCCATCTGGCCTGGTTTACACCTGACCTTAGAAGAGGATCCATGGAGATGTGCCTTAGCATCTTTGCCAAAGCATCTTTAAGAACTAACTCATTCCCCTTCCTCCAGGAAGCCTTCCTTAACCACACTAGCCCTCACTGCCCTCTATCATGCCAGTGATGCCTCACATACCTCCACCCCACATTGCAGTCGTTTTAAAAAATAAAAGGCACCCACAGACACATGACAGTTTCGATTTTTTCTTCCTCCCTGTTCTGGGTAAATGTGTTTTATTTTTCTATCTGTCCATAAGTTCCTTGAAGTTAAGCCTTATATGTCATTAATTTAATTCCACCCCCTTGGGTGGATGTTTGAGGCACACTGGGGACAGCTCAGTGGACAGGTTAAGAACACAGACTTAGGAGGCAGGCACAGCCTGGTGTCAATTCCCACCTCTGCAACATCTAGGAGGGACAAGTCACCCCACCTCTCCAAGCCTCACTTCCCATCAGCTGTGAATTTGAGATCATTCTGGTGCATACTTCATTTGGTGTTGTGAGGACTAAATGTAAAGTACTTAGCATTGTGCCGGGCACATAATAAGCCCTCATTAAATAGGAGTGACGATTATGATGATTGGCACATAGGCTGTCAACTAACGCTCACTAATGAAAAAATATATTTATTATTCAATAAATGGTGTCAAGACAAGTAGTAGTCATCTAGACAAAAAGTAGTAAAGTTTAATCCCTACCCCATACTTTGTATCTGGGTAAATTCCAAATAGATGAAAGACTTAACTGCAAAAAAAAAAAAAAAAAAGGAAACAAATTGTTGCTTGAAAGAATCATGTAAAAAACAATTGTCTTAATCTTAGGGTTGAGAAAGCCTTTTAGGTATCACAGAAAATCAAAAGCCAAAAAAAATTGTTGACTACAAAAAAAGAAACAAATTTTCTTCTGGAAAAAATTGTAATCAAAGTCAAAATATAAGCCACAAGGGAGAAAAACACTTTGCAGCTAATATGACAAAGTTCATTTTCCTCACATGTAAAGGGCTCCTACAAATCGGTAAGAAAAGGCAACAACTCAGTGGGTGAACAATACACATACAATGTGAATAGACAATAAACAGAAAAGGAAATAAAGTGACTCTTGAATATATAAAAAGGTCTTCAATCTCACTCATAGATTCAGAACTCTAATGGAAAACTGATGAATTCATAAAAGAGCTAACAAAAGATCAAGATGAAAAAAAATTAATTACATGGGACTGAGTGAACTGATTATAATTTCTGTGACTTTCTGTTTGAATAAAAAAAAAAATCTCACTCATAGAGAAATGCAAAATAACCCACGCTAAGAGGCAATTTTTTTTTAGCTATCAGATACAAGATCCAAACATTTGGTATTTGTTGGCAAGGGTACAGGATGGGTTAAACTGTTAACTCCTCCAGGGAGGGTAACTTAATTACTATAATAACTATCAAATGTGCTAACGTGGGTACTCTTTGATCCAGCAAATCCACATCTAGGAATTTATCAAGCTGATTGATGTAACTTGCATATATGTGTGCAGTCACGTTTGTACAAGGCTAGTCATTGCAGCATTGTTTGAACTAGGAAAAGACTGTCAACGACCCAAGTGTCCATCACGAGGGGACCAGACAAATAAATGATGGCACATCCATCATTGGATGGCACAATGGAGTGCCATGAAGTCATACGAAGATCAAAGAATGTGGAAGCTCTGGGGACACCATTATGGAAAGATCTCCAAGGTACATGGTGAAGTGAAAAGACAGGGTACAGAACAGATGAGTTTAATAGGCTACCATTCCTATAAGCAGAGAATAAAAACACATATAGTATAGTGTTAAGATCACAGACTCTGGGTCTTCCCTGGTGGCGCAGTGGTTGAGAATCTGCCTGCTAATGCAGGGGACACGGGTTCGAGCCCTGGTCTGGGAGGATCCCACATGCCGCGGAGCAACTAGGCCCATGAGCCACAACTACTGAGCCTGCGCATCTGGAGCCTGTGCTCCGCAACAAGATAGGCCGCAATAGTGAGAGGCCCGCGCACCGTGATGAAGAGTGGCCCCCGCTTGCCACAACTAGAGAAAGCCCTCGCACAGAAACGAAGACCCAGCACAGCCAAAATAAATAAATAAATTAAAATTAAGATCACAGACTCTGGAACTAGACAACTTGGTTCAAATCCCAGCTGTCCCACTTAATAACTTTGTGATCTTGGGCAAGTTATTTAACCCCCTGTGCCTCAGTTTGTTCACCTATAGAGTGGGCATAACAAGAGTATCTATCTCTTAGGGTTATCACGATAATTAAGTGAATCGATACGTGTAAAGCACTTAGAAAGTGTTCAGCATACAGTAAGCACTATATAAGTTTTTGCTGCTATTACTATTGTTACTTGCTTGCATATATTTAAAATGTCCCTAGAAGGACATACAAGAAACTGACAACACTGAGGATGAGAATGGAGTAGCTGGGGGGACTTCCCCGGCAGTCCAGTGGTTAAGACTCCCCGCTTCCACTGCAGGCGGTGTGGCTTGGATCCCTGGTTGGGGAACTAAGATCCCGCATGCCGTGCAGTGCAGCCAAAAAAAAAAAAAAAGAATGGAGTAGCTGGGGTAAGAGGGACAGTTTCACGGCTAATTGTATCTTCTGAATATTGACCTATGTAAATAAGCTAACCGCTCAATACACGAACTAAATTAAAATGAAAAACAAAAGCAACAACCAAAATAATTTTCCCCTGAAGGCTCTGTGTTGCCCCGTGCTGCTGGCTACGCCCTGACAACTGCCACCCGCTCTACCCTCTGCCCGGCTGGGGGCCAGTGCCCCTCACCCACCTCGGGGGTCAGCTGTAATGGCCTCCCTGCTCAGTGAGATCTTGCCTATGATGTCGTCGTGCCTGCAGAAAGGCAGGCAGATGAGGGTCCAACTTAGCGACCCCTGCCCCTCCCGTGGAGAGGTGGAGGCAAGGCGTCAATGGCTGGGTGGGTGGGTACTGTGTATTGGGGTGTCCCGCCTTCCCTCAGACACCCAGGCTTGGGTCCCCAGCACACACACCCCACGGTATCCTCGTCCAGCACATAGAAGGCCAGATGGTGGAAATCCAGGGGCAGGTGCACTGTGTACTCCTCCCCCCAGAAGGGGCTCAGGCTTCGCCAGATGGTTGCTGTCCTGCAAAAGGGGACATGGGGGGCTGGGGGCCTTCGGGCCACACAGGCAGCAGATAGATACCTGGGGACACAAACACACACACACAGGGATCCAGACACATACACACCCAGAGCTACTCAAATACACTCAAATACAGCTACAAACACACATACTCATACACTCAAGAATCCAGGCATGGAGACACACACAAATACACACACAAACCCTGACCCTCACATACCCAGGGACCTCAACACACACACACACACACACACACACACACAAACACACCACACACTCCCATGGGGATACACACTGAAACAGAAATATTCACAGATATACCAAGGAAGCCAGAGACACAAAGAGACACATTCACACATATACAGATATATATATGCATCCTCAAAATTTTCTAGAAACACATATCTGTGTGTTTCTACATATAGACACGTGCAGACACACAGAGAGAAAACAGAAACATTCACACAGAGACACAGAGAAAAGAAATGCCCGAACATGGAGACACACATAGACCCACAGACACACACTCACATACAGAGGGTGATATGCAGCAGAGATACACACACAGAATCACACTGTCACACAGTAACTGACAAGACACACAATTCCATCCATCCATTCATTCATTCACTCCATAAACACTCGCCCTGACCTATATGCCAAGTCTTGGGGGCTATGGGGAATCAGAGGAAGAGTTGCCAAGGTCCCCACCCCCACAGAGCCTCTCTCAGCAGACTGGTGTTCCCTCCTGAGCCCTTGTGACACAGTGAAAGAAGTTCTGTGATTGGTTAGCTCAGTGGTGCCCACTGGGGTGAGGATAGGAGGGGTCAGGAAAGGCTTCCTGCGGGAGCTAGTCAGGCAAAGCAGGGAGAAAGGATGAGAACAAGTATTCCGCATGGCTGGAAGAGCACGAGCACATGCAAAGGCCCTGAGGCAGGAATGGCGAGTTTGAGGAACAACAAGATGGTGGTTGGGAGGCAGGGACGTGTGAGGGGCCAGGAGACCATGAAGTCAGCAGAGGCCAGAGCACTCAGTAAGCAAGGGGAACCCCAGGAGGGTCGGGGACCAAGACAAACCCAGAAACAGACACACATACATCTTCACCCCAACACCTCTGCAGATGCACTTCCCTTTACACAATGGGGAAAAAAGAACCTACTTTGCCCAGTGAAGACACCAAAATTTACGGTTGCAAAATTTGGTCTGCACACCTGCCACTGTCTTCCTCCTTCCTTCCACACACCCTTCCCCAGCAAAGAGTATGAACGTGGACACACATACATACACACACGGCCCAGGGCCCCACCATCAGACGGACTCTTCTCTCCAAACACCCTCTTCCCACTACCCTGACCTCTTCCCGGCTGGAAGTCCCCTCAGGCTCCCCAGCCCCCGAGCTGAGAAGCTCCTCAGAGCCCAGAGGGGGTGAGAGCCTGGGGTCACACGGAAAATCAGTCTGTGGGTTTGGGGGTGTTGTCACAGAATGTGATAAGGAGCAACACAAGCACAGAGAGAATGATGGGGGTTGGTCGGCTGGTGTGCTGCAGGCTACCCTTCTCCACACGGGCTCCCTGCCCCCAGCTCCCGGCCCATCTGGACCAGAACTGGTGCCAGGAGGATGCTGAATCCTGCTGTCTCCATAGGAACCAAGGCCTCAGCCGCCGGCCCACCCACACCCTTCAGGCCTGCGGGGGCTGAGAGCCGTCCTTCAGCCCAGCACAGCACAGCCCAGCCCGATGTCTCCCCAGCCCGAGACTCGCTCACACACACCAAACATCTTCACATCCTCACATGTGTTCACAGTGGCGCCTGTGTACCCAAATAAGCAGGCATTGGTGCACACGTGCATGTACACGGCAGCCCACGTGTGCACACACACGTATACCCCCCCACGCTGGTACACGACGTGAACCTCTGAGCCTGCACACCCCCAGGGACACGCACCAGTGGTCGCAGGCATTCACATCAGCCCTCCGACACCCCGACACACACTCACAAGCAGGCCCAGCCGGGCGCACATGCACGCCCCCCCCCCCCCCCCCCACCCACACACCTACACACCCCGGTGCCCGCAGCACCCAGCAGGCCCGGAACCAGCCAGCCCAGCCAAGCATGAGATGCCCATCCCCGGGGAGGCCACTGCGGAAGGTACAATCTGGCCGCCACTGAGTCAGCCCCAGGACGCCAGCAGGGACATCATCAGGACAAGGGGGAAGGGGGAAGATGTTGGCCAGTTGGTGGGACCAGATGGAGAGGGGAGCCAGCGCCCCCTCTGTCTGGGCCCATGGCCAGGGCACAAAGCACCCACCATCAGGCCTGCGAGTACCCCCTTGCGGTAAATGTTGCCCTCCCCCAGGTCCTCTTTTCAACGTGAATTCTTGTGCCTGGACTCCCCAGGTCAAGATGGAGCCCCGTCCCCTGGCCCTGCTCCCTTTGCCCTCCCCTCCTTACCTGGCCACCACTTCGTCGTCCACTTTCACTATGCAGTAGGGGTCGCTGCTCCCAGACCTGCGGAAGGAGGAGGTTTGGGGAGCGGGCTTGAGGGAGCAGCCCTGGGTGGGGATCCCAATCTGCCTTCATTTTACAGATGGGGGCAACTAAGGCCCAGAGAGGGGAGGGGATTTGCCCAGGGTCACACAGCAAGTTCAGTGGAGGCAGGACCTCTGGGGACCAGCAGACGATGTCATGGCTGTCCAGCCCACCCACTGCGGACCTCCTTGAATGGGCCCTGGGCTTCCACCCAAAGAAATAGAACATTGAGACATGAAGCCAGAAAATTTGGAGTCCCGGTCGCAGGAAGCCCGAAGCGGTGGTCCAGAGCACGTGCTCTGCTGGGGAATCATCCCTGGCCCCAAGTTTACTAACTATGGAACCCTGGCAAGACCCCTTCCCTCTGTGGGCCTCAGTTTCTCTGCTCTGTAAGTCGGGTGTAATATTTTCACATACCCCCTAGGGCGGTTGGAGGAGCTAAAGAAGCCAATGCATGGTGCGATGCATCATGGCCGACCCCAGAGCTTTCCCCACAGGTGCCTGAACGCCACCCTCAGGGTAAGCATTGCCCTCTCCATTGGGAGTTTCCCTGGGACGGGACTCCCCATAGCTCAGCCTTCAGCGAGGATGGACAGCCGCTCTCACTGCAGGCACAGACCAGGGCACCCAGACCTCAAAACTCAACCAGTAGGAGAAATGGGCTGCATCCCCTTGAGTAGCCGTGAGCCACAGGCCAACCAAAGCCAGTTCCAGCCCCGCTTCATAGTAAGAGTTACTGGTCCATCCCAAGCTATCGACCAGGGACCCTCATCTCTTTCCCCGACCCCCGCCCCCTTCCCATCACACAGGCTTCCTTTGTCTTCCACTAAGCTCAGTCCAGCCTCAGGGCCTTTGCACTTGCTGTTCCACCTAACTAAGACACCCGCTCTGTTCCTGATCTTGTCATGGCTGGCTCCATCCTATTATTCAAACCTCAGCCCAAAAGTCACCGCCTCAGAGAGGTGGTCCTGGATCACCACTGTCCTCCAACAGTAGACAGTGTAAAATTGATCTCCGATCCCTCTGAGCATGTGAAATCATCTTGCTCCGTTTCTCTCCGTTTAGTGTCTGTCTCCATGGCTACCTGCAACTTCCGAAATCTGATTTCCTTGGGGGAGGAGCTGTATTTCCCCACCCTCATCTCCCCCCACCACTGCAGAGTCAGAATTCGAACCCAGGTCTGTGGGGCTCAGCACACATGTTCTTAACCAATGCCTGCACCCCAGCTCACGATCCCTTGTCCAAATGGCCCCCTCCCCTGACACCCCAGCCCCCGACCTCTCTCTGCCCCCTCTCTCAGCTCAGCTTGTCACTGATCCACAAATGCCTCGGGGATTCCCAGGAAGAGGGACGCTGGCACCGGGAGCTGCTCCAACCTCGTCTGCTGGCTGAGCCCTCCCCATGCCTCGGTTCCCTCTGTGGACTCCTTCCTCTAGTTCCCTCTGCCGGGTGTACCTTCATTTCCCCATCTGCCCTCCATCCCTGCACACCTCAGACTGGTTGGTGTCCTGTGTCTCTGAACTCCTCTCTGGGTTCTACCTCTGACCTCCCTTCTGCGTAATGCCCCAGGCCTCAGTTTTCCCATCTGATCTATCCCAAACCCATTGGGCTGAGTAACCCTGGGAGCCTCAGTTTTCCCATCGGGCTCCACCCCCCTGGATGCCCGTGGCTGGTAACCCCCTCTATCTCATTTCTCTCTCTGGGTCCTCTCTCCCTGAGCTTCTTTTAGGCGGGCTCCAATCCCTCAGTTTCCCCAGCAGCAGATGTGGGGCAAATGGGCTGGGATCCATAGAAAAGGGCTGGGAGCCACGCCTCCTCCCGTCTACCCGGCCTGACCCCTGGGTCCCTCATGGGAGCCAAGCACGTCAGCTCCAGGGCTCTGACGCACGAGGGCCTTATCAGGCTCCTATCAGGCAGGGGCAACAGTGGCGGAAGGGAGCTACCCCTTCCAGACCCTCAATCTCTCTAGACCTTTGGCCTCTCCCACGGCTCCTGCCCCACCTCAAGCATGGGAAAGCAGGCCCATCGGCCATTGCCTGCCCAGTCTGGTTGGGGCATGGGGGCAGTCAGGGTTCAAATCCCAGTTCTGTGACCTTGGGCAAGTGACTTTGCCTCTCTGAGCCTCGGTTTGCCCATTCGTAAAATGGAAATGCTAATAGGACTACAGGAAGTGTCAAACACAGGACCTGGCCCATAGGAAGCTGTCAAAGACATACAGCTGCTATTATTAATGACAGAAATAACTCTCAAATTATCAGCTGAGGCCTCCTCCCAAGCCAGGCCAAAACCCCCTCAAACCTGGTGAGGCTTCAGGAAGAATCTGGGCCCTCTCCCTTAGGAGAGGGGAGAGAGGACATACTCATCTAAGAGTCCCCACAGGCATGGAGATCCCAGCACGCTCTGAGGGAGCCCCTCTGAAGAAGGGCACCAACAGCCAGGGAAGCTGAGGCAGTGTGGCTGGATCCCCCACTGGGGCTTAGTCACTCTCCTCTCTGGTTCTGGGGCATGGCCCACCTCAGAGCTCACCTTGGCCCGGGAACTTGGGGGAGGAGGGGTGGCCAAGAGACGCAGGAACCAGGTATGAGTCAACTCCCTCCCCAGAAGAGGCAGAGGGAGCCCCGCGAGCCATGTCCGGGTCCAAGGACAACATCCGTCACTCCCTCATGGCCCTCGCCCAGTACTGGTGGAGGGGCCGGAGCAGCTGGCCAGGTCAGCAGCTGCCAGGTCCCCACTCCTGACCTCACTGCCTCGACAGTTCCAGAATCACTAATTCTCGGGTGCTCTGAGAGGGCATCTCATAAGAGGGGAGTCAGGGGGCTCGTCCAGATGCTGCATTTGCACAGCGAGCTCTCTGCTTTCCTCAGGTGCGTGTCTTCTTGGGGTCGCTGATGTGCATGCGGGGAGCTAGAAATGCTCTGTGCAGCCTCCCCCTTGACATAGCTGCAGGGCTGGGGAGGGGGATGTTCATGAAGTCAGAGGCAGGATACTCCTCACTGGGGGCTCACAGCTGGGGGAGTCAGAGCATAGCTAAGCCCCAGCCTGTGCGAAGGCTCAGAATCCACGGTCCTGCTCACCTGGCCAGCAGGTAAATGCTAAGAGGTTCTCCACCCTCAGCTGCATGCGGCTTGGAGACTCCTGTCCAGGGTTTCCATTGCCCAGATGGGAAATCCAAACCCAAAGAGGACTAGGTTCAAGGTCACACAGCCAATGTCCTGCCAAGGATCCCACACCTGTTTCAGGTGCTGACACCCTTAGAGCCCCTTCTGGGCTCCAGGCCAGGCAGGAGGGGGACCCCTCCCCCCATTCTGCTGATTCGGCAACTGCTGACTCAGCCCTGAGGGAAGCACAGCCGAGGACGGGTACTAAGGGGAACCTGAGGGTCCTCCAGCCCCATCACACCTGGCTAGGGAGGGGGCTGCAGGGGGAAGTCGGCTCTTCAAGCGGCTTAGCATCCAGGGAAGGCCCCCATTGGGCTGGGAGCTGCTGGCTGGGGAGCTTAGGGTTTTGGGTCAAGAGGACCCCAGTTTCCCCCAGGCCTGGCCGGTGGGCCACTTGGTGACACTCTGCAAAACTAAATGCCAGATGCACACAGAGGAATCCTGGGGCCACCTGGATCCCAGGTCCTCTGGGGCTCCTCCCCAGGGTTCTCTTAACAGGTGCCCACCCAGGCCTGGAGAAACCCCACCTCCAACATCTGCCTGGACTAAGAAAGAGAGCCCCCCACCCCTAAAGCCCCTCCCCAGCTCTGACAGAATCCGACCCTCTAATCCCCAGGGCTGAAGCCCTGGAAGACCCCCTTTAGTACGTCCCAGGAACAAAGACACCCCTTTCCTGGGGGCGGGGCATCTGCTAAGTCTTGGCGTCCCCTCCCACCATGAAGCGATGGGCGTGGGGCCTCTCGCCCCATGAAGGTGGATCTGCCTCAATACTCGGTCTCAGTCAAGAACCCCCGCCCACTTCACCGACCTTCCCTGGCACGCGGAATGGGCGACCCCCGCCCCATCCCATGCCTGGAACGCCCCCCATCCCCGACTGGCCCCGGGGGTACTCACACGTCCTTGGCGGGCAGCGCCCGGCCCTCCACGACGCGGACATTCAGGGAGCTGCTCTTGGCCATGGCGCCCAGGCCCAAACTTTCCGGCCAGGAGGACGTCCAGGTTCCGAGGCTGTACCGCGGCGCGGAGGGCGTCTACGTGTCACAAACAGCGAGCCTGGCACCCTGTCCCGGGATCCCAGCGCCGCCTGTCCGACACGCGGGTAGCTGAGCGAGAGGTTTCCGAAGGAGGAGAAAGGATAGGTGTCCGGGGAGGGGCGCCCCCGCCAGACTCTACAGGTAGGAGCTGGGCGCCGAGCGGGCTGAGCGCGCGGGGGACATCGCCAGCCCTTGCCTCCTAGTCCAGCTCTCCCGGTGGGCAGGCGGGGAGGACAGGGGGCGGGAGGGGCGGCCCAGGGCCCTCCCCGCAATCCCGCCTCCCGCAGGGCACCCCGCCCGCCAGTTCCCGGGCCCCCTCGCGCGCCCTCTGCCGGCACCCCAGCCAAGCGTGCCAGAGCGCACCGGCCTCGGAGCCCCGGGCGCCTGGAGGCTGGGACTGCCAGGTGGGGAGCAGCCCACGGCCATGATGGGCGTGGCCGCAGGCTCCTAGTGAGTTGGCATCGGGCTCAGAAGACACAGTATGCCCCCTGCCTGCCCTGCCTCCAGCACGTTCACACCTCCCCGGCTCTCCCCTGCCTACCATCCCGGCGCCGCCTTCTCGGTCCGACCTCGTTGCCCCATCCCGGAGCAGTATCGGAGATGGCGGGAGGCGTCGCTAGAGAGAGTCACACCCTCCCTGGGGGTCCTTTTCAGAGTCAAGGGAGGGGCCGCGAACATCCCCTTCCATCTCTTTTAGTTTCCAATTAAACCCAGACTGTGCGTGCGGCAGATCCCGCGTCACTGGCTGGCACTGCGGGGGAGGAAGCCGCGGCCGGAGGGGGAGGGGAGGGCTTGAAGATCACCAAGGCGATGATAAAAGTCATCTACAATTGTTTGAACGCTTACTGTGTGCCGGGCACTGTTCTAAACGTTTTACAGGGATTAGCTCACCTTCGTCCTCACAATAATTCTATGCATTACATACTATTGTACTAGTCCCCCCCCACCCTTGTATGGATACACAAACTGAGGTTCAGAGGGATTAAATAGCACTCGGAAGGTCTTACAGTCAGTCATTGATTTGCCTCTCTGGATTTGAATGCTGACTCTGCCATTGGTAGCTGTGTGGTCTTGGGCAAGTCTCTTAACCTCTCTGTGCCCTGGTTTGGTTTTCTCATCGGTTCATAGGTTATTATAGTATCTCGCTCACAGGGTTCTGAGAGAATTAGATGAGATAAAACAGATATGAAGGAAGCAGATACAGATCTCAGAACACCGACAGGCACATAAGAAGTTTTCAGAAAGTGTTTGCTATTATTATTATTGTTCTTCAAGGCATAGCTCAAATATCACCTCTCCTAGGAAGTCTTCCGGGCTGTCCTCCCATGCCAAGCAGAGGTTTTCTCCCCTTTTTCTCTGCTCCCACAGCTCCAGGTTTGCACGGTTTTCGAGTTTTAAATGTGATAATGTGACTGGAAAGGCCTGTCCCGGACAGATACACACACACTATCTCTCCCCATGAGTTTGTTGTTTACCTAAGAGTTCTCAGAAGGGACTCTTTCCTGTCAGGTCAGCCCAGGGCTGGGCACCAATGCGAAGGTTCTACTTATTGATTTCAGGAGTCAACCCCCAGACTGGCAATTCCGGAAGGGCCCTGCCCAGCCACAGGAGTAGCCCCGTGATCTGCTTCCCCGTCTCCCTCCTTGACTTCCCACCCAGCACCCCAGCCAGGCTGGTGAGGAATTCAGATCCCTGGAACTCTTTCCCTGGCTGGCCTCCATCTGGTGAGTCCTTCCAAAGTCTGGGCCTCAGTTACCCCATCTAGGAAATGGGCCTAGCAGGACTGGCCCCAAGGCTTAGAAGTATTGCAACATCCTTCAACAGGGTATGAGGGGTGATGCAGCATTGATTCCAGAGCAGTGGTAGCCCTGAGGGAGTAGTTAAAGCCCTCCCATAATCTTTATCAGTTACCCCAGATCCTCAGGAGGGGAAAATGGTACTTGTTATGTGACTGCTACTTCAAGACAGGTGTCCTGCCTCTCCCTGCCCCCACTCACCTAGGTGGGAGCTTGTGGCGAAATCTTTTCTTCTGAAAAAGAGACCTCAGATAGGCTATCCAGCCCCCAGGGACCCTTGATGGAACCTGGGGGCCTTGTCCTAGGGCCACCTGGGATGCCAACCAAACCACCACCAGCCATCTTGGCCCAACTTCCGGAGCTGAGCAGGAAGCCACATTCCCAGACGCCCCTCCCCAGGCTCCCAGGGGGGTTACAAAGGCTATGGACTGTGTCAGCCAGGCCTCCAGGAAGCTAGCTCTGTCACCTATCCAATATCCAGCGTCTGACCCTGCAATTTGCCTGGAGTTGTGGCCACAGTCTCCATACTTTCCAAATGGCCTGGCTACCTCCTGTTATTCTGAGAAGCTTTGACCTGAAACTGGCAGAGGGTTTGAGGTCTCCTAGGGCAGTTCCTGTCAAGGAACCAGAGGGGGAAATGTGGCCCAGAGGAGTGTGACCTGCTAGAGGCCATTTGGGAAAGAAGAAGACAGGCTCCTGAGAGCCCAGGCCTGGGCTGTCACGTGGAAAGGGTCTCACCTTTCTCGTGAGATTGTTGTAGAGTTAATCAAGACGGCTGTGTAAGGCAGCTGGCATCTTTCCTGGCACATAGTAGGTGCTCAAGAAATGGTTAGCTGCCTCCCCTTCCCCATCCTCTAAGCCTCTTCAAGACAAACCCACTATCATCTTCTTGTCAACTCTGTACAGTCTACCGCCCACGGGATGCACATAGCAGGTGCTTCGTAAAGCCAAATGGGAGGAGATACTGGGGCTGAGGATATAAGAGCAGAGGTTTTAGCGTTCAGGCAACCTGGGATTGAATCCTGGCACCTACAGGTATGAGCTGGATGCTCTTGGGCAAGTGAGTTACCCTCTCAGTGCCTCAGTTTCCTCATCAGTAAATTGGGAATAAAACCAGCGCCCACCTCATAGGCTGGGTGTGAAGATGCGATGAATGAAACGTCAAACGTTCAGCACAGCCTGGCATACAGCAAGTGCTCATAAGTGTCATGGCCATAATGGAACATCCTGATCCCACCACTGTGCCTGACCTTGAGCCCCACTGGGTGACTGAGCTCTGAGGCTGGGTCCTAAGGACTCTGTGGCTGGGGCAGAGCGCCAGGCCCAGCCCTAAATTCCAGGGATGGATGGAGCAGCCACACTTCAGTGGAGCCAGTGCGGCTCCGCTCCAAGTTGCTGAGCTGGGGGAATCTGGGGGTTTGCATCCCAGCTGTGAAATCTGATAGCAAGATCTCAAGATTGGGCTCCTGCACCCCGATGGGCCTCACTACCCAGGACGAGTCCCACCCACTTCGTCTGAGATGCTGGGCCTGGGGCCCAGGGAGGGCTCACAGACACAGAGTGGAGAGGGCTCCTCATACCAGAGTGGGGATCAGGCCTGGGCACTGACAGGGCTGTGCTGAAGCTTGCGCCTACTGGTCCCTGAGAGCCGGCTGCGCCCACGCCCTTCCAACCCCATATTCAGCAATGCCGCATCAGGAACTTGAAATCAACCACAGGAGGAGAATTTGCACCATGGAAATCAGCAAATAAACACTACAATTTGTTTTGGAGAGGCAATTTAACAACACACCACTGGGTCCAGGATTCCCTGGCCGCATGGCCCTCTCGACCCCATTCCTGAATTCAACACCTTTAAGATTTTATTCATATTACCCCCAGCCCACACCCTGATCCTACCTTTGCCCTATCCTTCCACCAGGAAAGCCTTTACATTCCTTTATCTATCTATTTCCTGGTTTAAGACCCACAGATATAATTAAATAAAAATTAGAACGGATGGGGTGAAATAAAGTGCAGATAATGTAAGAGCAGTGCCATGCAACACTAGATAGCTGTGTGGGTTGTTTTCAATATTTGTTTATTTATTTGGCTGCGCCAGGTCTTACTTGTGGCACGTGGGATCTTCGTTGCGGCATGCAGGATCTTTAGTTGCGGCATGCAGGATCTAGTTCCCTGACCGGGCATCGAACCCGGGCCCTCTGCTTTGGGAGCACAGAGTCTTAGACCACCAGGGAAGTCCCAGCTATATATAGCTGCAAATGGCATTATGTTCTTGAACACTATATAATAACAGGAAAAGTGCTTTAAAAAAAAAAAAAAAAAGCAGGTCATAGGGAATTTCCTGGTGGTTCAGTGGTTAGGACTCCGTGCTTTCACTGCCAAGGGCATGGGTTTGACCCCTGGTCTGGGAACTCAGATCCCACTAGCAGTGTGGCGCAGCCAAAAAGAAATGCAAGTCGTGGGAAAAACACAGTATATACAACCTTATATAGGCATGATACTGATGCCATAAAGTACTATATATATATATAAAAAATTCTTTTCTTATATTATTCCTTTCATATATATAAAATGCTTACATATTATATATAAAATTCTCTTCTTATTTAACAGATGTGTATTGAGCACCTACTATGTACTAGGCAGTGGGGATACCATGAGGTACACACAGCCCAGCCCTGCTCTCATGGGCTCTCAGGAGGGTGATACAGACAAAAGTAATGGGCAGCTAGGAACAGACTCTCAGTGGGAAGTACGAAGTGATGTAGACAATAAAGCAAGCACAGAACTGGAGGGCTTTCTCTGACATAATGGCATGTGCTTCTTTTTAATCAGAAATTATAATCAGAAAATAATTCGTACTTCCTCCGGTCTGAAAGCCCTGCTGCCCTTGCTTTGTAGCTCTGCTCACAGCCTCCGGGAAGCCTGGAAGGTGGCAGGGAAGGCAGTGATGACCACCCCCCACTGCCCGCCTGTTGGCACCTCTCTGTGACCTTGGTCTCTTGTTCTCTTGTTTTGTGGGGATTTACATGCTTGTCTTATCTCCTAAATGTCAGGGACAATGACTGATTCATGCGGTGCCTCCCACGCCAGTTGGCACATAAAAAGGACTCAAAAGACACTCTCTGGGTTACATAGTATCCAATTCCCCTCGAGGGCTGGAATCTGGCCTCTCTCCTTGTGGCAGTGGTCATATTCCTTTTTACTTCCTTTCTCCCCACGGTGCCCTAACACTGCCAACTCACCACCTCTCCGCTACACCTTCACTCC